GCATTTGGTATCATTCTGCCTGTGACAGGAGACGTCGCTATAGAGGAAACATCGGCTTATACGGCTCTGCTCCCTGCGCTGCCGCCTCAGTTCCTGTAGCGCTGGTTTCGCTGGCACCGCTGATTCTCTCCCTCTCTTCAAGTTCCCCCTTATGCCGCCACCGGCCCTGGGAATAGTCCACCTAGGTCTTATTTTCGGGGTAGGTCTTATATTTTAGCAATTCCCAAAAACGGTGCTAGGCCTTAATTTCAGGGTAGGTCTTATTTTCGGGGAAACAGGGTATATAACAAAAAAGTACCGAAAAGTTTGAAAAAAACCTGTTTCCCTATATTATGTTATTAAACATTTGTTATCACCCCAATTTTTTTGTAAAATATACAAGACGGGGGTCACATCGGGTAAATAGTCACCAAACATGTCAAGCCTTAACAAAAATGTTAAACTTTTTTTTTTACACTTAACTTTATTGCTATCACACAGGGGGCTAAGAATCCCTCTATGTAATATCAAATTACAGTGACAGGTCCTCTTTTTGGAAACATCAGGGGTCTCAAAGACCCCTAATGTCCCCAATGGACCCCAAGAGAAGCTGATGAAGCAGAGATCTGCTTCACCAGCTTCTCCCCAGCTTCTGTAGGCGGGAATGACAGCTGAATGTGGATGTGATGTAATATACATCACTTCCTGCCTTTGGAGACCACAGAGGAGATCAGCGGGAGATCATGTACTTATCTCACTCTGATCTCTGGTGAAAGAGCCACCATGCCAGTCCCGGCCTGCACTGGGCACAGCGGATTTCAGGACCAGTGGTGGCGGGGGCACACACCACACTAAATACAAGCAATTGGGCATCTCTACAGACACCGGAACACTTGCATTTAAACAGCCATCACTGGCTGTTTACATTTTTGACTGTTTCCCCACTCGTGCGTGCGCTGGGTGCCGTGCACATCTTAAAATGCCCACCCTCATCTACAAGGTATCCTGTTCAGGCATTTAGGTATGGGAGGTGGTTAAGCATGGTTAGCAAGGTTGCTCTATTATCTCAGGTTAAAACTGTCCTGCTACTGGCCAATTGTACACTGCTATATCCTTTGCATTATCCTATTTCTTATAGTAAAACCCCTACCGGTACTCTTTGGTGGTTACAGTAGCTGCATTAGTTCTTTTTTTTATGTTTTGTCTGCTTTATATTCATCCTGTGATGTGGCTAGTGATGTGTAACTTTGTCAGCCAAATGATCAGACAAGTGGTGATGTTCAATTTGTAATTTACTGAATAAATGGAAATTTACTGAATAAATGGAAATTAAACATATATTGCACAGGGGGAAATAAAAACAAAGAATCAATACATTGAGAACAAGTGTAAATGAGAACATGTAAATATGAAACAGTTCCTCAACTGGCCACTAGGTGGAAGCACACTTTAGCAGTTCTATTAAAGCTTAACTACCTCCGGGCCGGCCGTAGTAAAAAAAAATGGCCGGCTGGGAGCTCTCTAGATCTTTAGATGTCCGCTCAGACACACCTCCTCGCGCGGGAAATGGCAGTTATTTAAAAACGGGCAGCGATGCCTGTTAACATACAAGCGATCCGCCGGCTGTAGAGCCGGCAGATCGCGTGTATGGGGTGCCGATCGGTGTGTCCCCCCTGCCGTTGTCCCGCTGATCCCAGGCTCTGCTGTGCCCAATGTGAGCCCGGGATCAGCATGTCGCCTGTGTCACAGGGGCTCGTGTACCGAGCTCCCTCCGGTCCCCTCTCCTCTGCAAGAATGCGGAAGTGTTGTATAATACATCACTTCTGCATTCTTGTGTCACTCTCCAGCTTCAGAAGCTGGAAAGAAGCTGATGGAGCAGATCTGTGCTTCATCAGCTTCTTTTGGGGGGTTCTAGGTGACATTAGGGGTCTTGGAGACCCCTGATGTCTCCATAAAGAGGACCTGTCACATATTTTGCTATCACATAGGGGGGTTTTATAAGCCCCCCTATGTGATAGCAATAAAGTTTAGTGGGAAAAAAAGGAAAAAAATGTAAGCCCCCCCCCAAAAAAATTTTAAGTTACACATAAAGCAGAATAAAAAAAACATTTTTAAAAGTCCCCACCCATACATACACGCATGCAAACATGCGTCGGGGGCGCATACATGCAAAAAAGACGATTGCGCCCATTACGCCGCACATGTTACATATCGCCGCGAACTTCGGAGTGAGAGCAATAATTCTAGGGCCATCAATCACTGATAACACTAAACTGATGAGCGGTAAAAGCTTTTAAAGTGTCGCCTATGGCCAATTTTGGGTATGGTAGTTTTCTGCGATTTCGCGGGTGGGCGCAATTTTAAAGCTTGACATGTTTGTTGTCTATTTACCCGACGTGACCCGATCTTTTATATTTTACCAAAAAACTGGGTAATAATAAATGTTTCCTAACATAATGTTAAAAAAAACAGTAATTTTTCCTAATTATAGTAAAAAATAAAGCTCTATCTGTCCCCAAAAAATGGTATAAAATGAATTTCAGTACAGCGTTGCATGACGGAATAAAATTCAGTCAAAGTACCGCAGCGCTGAATACTGAAAAATGACCTGGCCAGGAAGGGGGTCTAAACACCTGGTCTTGAAGTGGTTAAGGAAGGATAAAACAGTAAACACCCAGTTATCCGGCACCCATGGGTATTGGTAGGTGTCGGATAACTGTAGTTTCTGGCTGCTTGAGAATTAATAGTACCTCCCAAGCAACCACACCCCTCCCCCCCCGCCCCGTGGTGCCCCGCCCCGTGGTGCCCCGCCATCCTGCATCTCCATTCACCTGCTGGCTAGCTTCCGCAGCTCCATGGGCGAGGTTTCAATAGCCAACCTGCTATTGGCTATTGCAAATTGCAATAGCAGGCTGGCTATTAAAACCCCACCCACTGGGAAGATGAGCAGACCTGAGAGAGAAAGTTGTCTCTCAGGTCCACTGCTCTGCTTAGTGGGCGGGCACAAGGGATTTGTGGGAGCCCAGGGGATTGTGGGAAACTGAATTAAAGGGAGCCACACCTGTTGCTGAGTAAAGGGGCACTCTGCCACACTTCCTGTTTCAGGGTGGCTATACACTCAGTTCTACACTGTATCTATGGAGGGTTAACTGAGGGTAGTGTTAGATGAACTCGTAGATTTAGATGGACTTTACATAACTGACAAACAACTTCAAGTTTTTTCTCTTTTTGATCGGAAAAATGTAACTTCACAAATAATAGCTGACCAACATGAGCATCAATGTCAGTGTTAATGTCAGGATCACCATGTAAAAATAAAGGAAAAAAGCCACAAAAAGAAAACTAATGCAATCATCACATCTAAGGATTGGTAAGCTGCAATATACTAAGCTTTTGGGTTTAGATACACCTTAATTCTAATCAGACTGGGCTGCTTGTAAGCCAAGCTAATTGTAAAAGAATAAAAATCAGTTCCACAGACAACTTACACTGTTTCTGTCACAGTCCGTGAAAATGTTCTGTTCTGTAACACCATGTACAGATTTAAGGCATCCAGAAGCATGTTATTTAAAGGAATTTCAATGTTGCCTGCAAAGCTGCATAAAAATACCCTCAAACCCGGGCTCATCCCTTACTGATCTTTTTATACCCGACTGACCTCTGGCTATATCACTAGAGTGTAACAAAATATGTTTGCTGTATGAACACCCATGTATACTGTGTAAATCGAATATAGTACATATTGATTAGGAATGCACCAATAGCAATACTAGTATTGGTATGGATACTGGGTATTTGGGTGAGTACTCGTACTTGCACAAATGCTCCCGATGTTTACTCCAATACCGGAACTTCCGGTATCAGGTAGCTGGGCGGCGAGTCATTACACGCCGCTGGCTTTCTGATTGGCCCGGGAAGCCGGCTCCATGCTCCCCAGTCACCAGGGAGCATGGAGCCGGCTTCCCGGATGATCTGGAAGCTGGGGGGAGGTGGGCAGGAATGACACGACCCCGGCTTTCTGATTGGCCAAGAAACTGGCTCCATGCTCCCTCATCATTTGGTGTAATTACTTAGTGTAATTACTCACTGCCCGGCTTCCTGATTGGTCGGTAAGCTGGCCCTGTGCTTTCCCGTCACCTGGTGACGAGGAAGCATGGAACCGGCTTCCCAGTCAATCAGGAAGCCGAGTGGTGAGTCATTACCTGCCCCCCAGCCTTCTGATTGGCCAGAAAGCCAGCTCCATGCTTCCTCGTCACCTACTAGGCTACAGGATTTTACCATAATAGATATACAAAAGCCCAAATTTAGAAGACTTTTGTAGATGATAAAGTAAAAATAATCTTAACTTAAATTAATTTTTTATTTTTTCTTGGAAATACTGGGTCATTCCAAGCAGAACCAGCTTGTAAGGCATTACTTGGACAGATACGAGACATGGTAATTGTTTCTTGTGATAACATCAGCTCATATTGCTTGTACTAATTAAACATTGTTTTATTATATTACTAGCCACTAATAAAAGTGTCATAGCTTTGAAAATATAGGTGGGTTACTGTTTTATTTTATGTTACTAAAGGAGGAACCATTGTCATCAAGCTGAAATCATAGGATGTCATAACAATGTCAATATCACTAACTACACCTAGTTCAGTATTTAAAGAGCCTAGCAGTTGTCATTGCATTAAACATTGCTCAGAAGAGTGGACAGCACCATAGATCCTCTGTGTATCAACATTAAGAGAAGATCCATCATGTCTCATTGCTCCATCTTGCCCTCCTCTGGACACAAGCACTTTAGCTCTGGCTCTGTGTCTTTACCCAAGCATTCCAGCTCACACAGCTTCTTATCACACTCTTCTAAACATGGACACAAGACCCAGAATTGCTTCAGCAGCAAGAGTGACCATACTGTTGGGTCAAAGGGACCAAAGGTTTCAGTGGGAAGTTTCCATTCAGGAAAAGGTGGACATGGACATGGATCTGGATTTGGTATTGGTGGACTTGGTCATGGATTTCGGGGAATGTGTGGTTCTGGAGGGATCACACCAGTTACTATAAACCAAGGACTTCTGGCTCCTCTTAGCCTTGAGATTGACCCAAACATCCAAAGAGTTAGAACAGATGAAAAGAACCAAATTAAGGGCCTGAATAATAAATTTGCCTCTTTCATTGACAAGGTAAGAAACATAAAAAATGCATCTACAGCTGAATATGTGGCCTACGAATATTTATAAGTTAGGATGAAAGAAAAAACCACAGCATTAAGACATATGGGTCTGTATAATTTATTGTGCAAGAACAACCAGTGCAATTTTATGTTATTGTTTATTATTTAGTGTAAATATCCTTATAAAGATTTGCAGGTTTCTGTAAATTACGTGGAACGTGTATAAAAATATGTTGCCATTTATATAGTGTATATTAATGCAATAGGGCTAATTTACATTGTGTGAATATCCAGAACATCTGCACATGATTGGGTATTCCAAGTAAACAGGAATTGGCTTTTCGCATTATTGAATAATTGAAGTGAATATCCTCCCAATGTTTTCAGTGAAGATTCTCAGCTCCTTTAGTAAATTAACCTCATTGCCTTTGAATTAAAATATGGAAACAATTAGCTTAGCACTTTCATTGTACTTCAGCCTTTTGGTGGAAACAACTTCCACTTAAGTGATACGTGGAACTTAGTAAAGCTGTGTAATTAATAGGAAGGCAGATGCATTTTATGCTGTTATGTAGTACTGTGTACTACTACAATAAGGGTGTGCCTACTCTGCACTAACTTATACTGTCCCAGTCCAAAAACATGGTAAAGATTTTGCCCATCCAATCCGGCTTAGGTTTGTGTAAATTACTGTATGTTACCACATTTCTATACCCATAAGTATTATTTTATGTTCACAACACAGGTGAGATTTTTGGAACAGCAGAACAAGATGCTGGAGACCAAGTGGGGTTTTCTACAAGGGCAGAAGACAGCCCGGTGTCAGATTGAACCTTTGTTTGAGGCTTTCATTGGCAACCTCAGAAGACAGCTGGAAAATCTGGAATGTGAGAGAGCTCGTCTGGATGCTGAGAGGAACAGCATGGAGGGCACTGTAGAAGAACTAAGGAGAAGGTGCAAATATAATGTACATTGGATTATGGAGTTTTCTGCATCTAACAATAAGGCTTCATTCTCTCCATGTTTTGGAGCCTGGCTTAGGCTGGCAATATGACAATTCTAGCATTTGTCATAAGGGCTGTTGAGCTTCACAGTACTAGTGAGGTAATATGAGCAAGTGTGGGTTGTTTTGCATCACAGCAATCCCCTCTAACCCCATGTCCACTTTTACAGATGTGATTTTCCTTTTTATTATGTAGGGCTGTTTCTATAGAGTTGCTTGTTCAACTTATTTGATTCAATTAACACAATAGCTATTTCTAGTCAAAGTTTAAAAAAAGGGTTCAAAGCATTAAGAGTAGTGATGAGCCGAACACCCCCCTGTTCGGTTCGAATTTGAACTTTCGAACATGGAAAAAGTTTGCATTCAAACTTTAACTCAATGCAAGTCTATGGGGGTAGAACTTTGAAAATCAATTGACCCCATTTTTGAAGACTTATTTGCAAATGAATGGCCATAAAAAGGGTATGGGGATGCGGGTACTGCCCTGGGGGACAAGTATCAATGAAACACTTGGTAGGTAGGAATTTTAAGTAGGAACCCCACCCCCAAAAATGGGGGGGGGGGACATGGGGTCCCCCCTAAAATTCCATACCAGACCCTTGATCCGATCACAGGCTTGGCAGGGCAGGAAAGGGGGGAGCAAGCGTCCCCGCCTCCCTGAGGTACCAGGCCACATGCCCTTGGCACTGGGATGGTGAATTGCCAGGGTTGCCCCTGGAAATGCACCTTGTCCCTGTGCCGATGGGGACAAGGGCCTCTTCCCCACAAGCCCTAGGGCATTGGTTGTGGGTGTGCGGGCAGTGGGCTTATTCACATCAGGGTACCCCAGATGTGCCCCGCCTTGTGAATGAGTAAGGGGTACTTGTACCCCAACCTATTTACTAAAGGGTTAAATAAATTTGTAAAAAAGAGGCCAGACTTTTGAAAAAAACTTTTATTTGAACAGTTTTAACAAGTATTTTATGTTAAAAAAAATGGATCCACCAACGTAATCCAGCGTCAATCACGATGCCCAGTGTTGTCCACGACGACAATAAAGTAAAAAATAAAGCAATAAAAATTAAATAGAAATAATGTTTAAAAAGACGACCGCCGTTCCGGTCTTCTTGCGATGAACTCCCGCCGCAAAATAGCATTTTGACAGATGCCGGCAAGATATAAACAATTGGGTGGAGCTAGCAGTGACAGCTAGCTCCACCCAACTGTTGTAACAGGTGAGCTATGATTGGGCAAAGTCATCATGACTTTGTCCAATCATGGCTCTTACAGAGTACTGGGCCCTGATTGGGCAAAGTCTTGCACCTGGCCTGTGGTCAGGTGCAAGGCTTTAGCCAATCAGGGCTAACAAGGCACAGTGCATTGCAGGGCGGTTGGCAGGTACAGCCCGCTGATCGCCCTGACAGTTCGTGTGTTCGCCGAACACATGAACTGCCTATGTTCTATGTTCTATGTTAAAACAGTTACGAAATAGCATGTAAAGAATATATGAGGAAATAAACTTATCTTTTCATAGGTATGAAGATGAAGTCAACAGAAGAACAGCTGCAGAGAATGAATTTGTATCTCTGAAGAGAGTAAGTAATAGGAATTCCAGAATAAGTCATGACTTTCTGTATTTAATCTTAAAGCAGCACTAATCACACTGTATTCCTAACGTCAGGATGTTGATGCCGCTTTCATGAACAAAGCTGAACTTCAGGCCAAGGCTGACTCCCTAAGCGATGAGATCAACTTCCTTAGGGCTCTGTATGATGCGGTAAATATTACTCCTTATGCATCATAAGCATAGTACCAAATTAGTTTACAATGCTGTACTGTAGTTGCCATACATCTTTTTTAAATTTGCAGGAAATCAGTCAACTCCAGGCCCAGATTTCAGACACTTCAGTTCTTGTGTCCATGGACAACAGCCGAGACTTGGACATCAACGGTATCCTTGCTGAGGTCAAAGCGCAATATGAAGAAATTGCAAACAGGAGCAGAGCTGAGGCTGAAGCCATGTACCAATCCAGGGTAAGTGTGTTATATCCAGAGCTACAAGGCAACAGGTACTGTATCTTTATACTTTGTAATTTAGCATAGATACAGGCAGCTAGTCATGAATAGTAAGAAATTGTGAAAATGGGAAAATGGTATATGAGCACTACAGCTAATATTCTATCAAAGCTTATTTTGAAACAATATATTTATTAAGACTTATGCTTTCAGTATAATGGCCCAGTGTAAAAACATCATTAGAGCTCTGGCATTTGGCTAGCTTGAAGCCATCTGTATAATAGATCATAATTCTAGCGTTTCATAGGTTTTAGTCAACCCTTTGTCTTCCATCCCAAATACATTTAAAAGCATGTAAACTTGTAACAATATAAGGAGCGTCCTGTGGAACCAAAGAGTAACGCATATAAGAATACAATGAAATTCATTGTTTTACTATGAAGTTGCTGAAAAATGATTGGGTTGATTTACTAAATACACAAAGATTATCCTCCTTTTCCTTGGAAAATCTTCAATTTTGTGAAAAATGTATTCAAAATAGTAATTTTGCTTTATTATACAATAGGAAAATACATTTTGCTATGGGCCTTCTAATAAGATGGTGTATGGAATAACAAATGGAATAACAACATTGGTTGTCCACAAATATTCAGAATTTACTTTTTTGTATCATTATCTACAGTTTGAAGACCTGCGAAATGCAGCTGGAAGAAATGGAAATGATCTGCAGAACAGCAAAAATGAGATTGCAGATCTCAATCGAACAATTCAACAGCTTAAAGGAGAAATTGAATGTGCCAAATCCCAGGTATAAATATACATTCTTGTGGTGTGTTATTTTATTATTATTATTTCATTACCATCTTTATAGCTTGAGTTTAGATTAATGTTATGTGAAGGTTCTATCTTTTTTCAGGTTTAGTCTTACCAAAAAGCTCTTTTATTTTTAATTTTAAACTTTTTGTTTGGATCATCTCACCTACATTATGATTGGAGATTGACAGGGTTATATACAAAAGGGTAAAGAGTTTGGAGAAGGCAGGAGAAGTGAACCATCTAGGACAGAATAGCTGGAAAGTGAGCTGAAGAATTGAATAATTTTTCCAAATCAGTTATTTTGTCCTAGATTGTTCACTTCTCCTGCCTTCTCCAAACTCTTCATCCTTTTGTAAATAACCCTGTGAATCTTTTCAGAGCTGGTTTCACTAAACTCAGATGTTAAATCTTAAAAATACATTCAAGTACCTTAACTATTTACAAAAATGTAGGCTATTTATGTGTCACTCAGCTGTGGATCTCTGAATTCAGCTGACACTGTCCTTCCTTCTGGAGGGTGGTCCCATGATGGACTACAATGTCATTGCAAGTTAGTAAACTAATCATGAGATTATAGTCCATCCTGGGAGCGAGCTTGGAGCTATAAGCAACATTTTTGTTAATAGTTAAAGTATGTATTAGGATTTCACTCCTGAGTTTAGTGTCACCTTAATGAACCTTTTAAGGAATTCCAGCAGTCAACCCCTGAACAAGTGGCTTAGGAAAAAGGTTTCAACTCTACATTCATGTGTTAATTATTTTGCACACTCATTTTCATTAAACTTATAAAAAGCTTAATAATAAAACACACAACATACTCACTATACTAGACAAATAAATGGAATGCATGTTCTTTCATCATTCCTAGCGTTCTGCACTGGAAGTCGCCATTAATGAGGCTGAGGAACGTGGTGAAGCTGCTGTTAGGGATGCCAAGCATAAACTGGCTGAGCTGGAGGCTGCTCTACAGAAGGCCAAGCAGGACATGGCTCGCCAAATGAGAGAATACCAGGAACTGATGAATGTCAAACTGGCTCTGGATATTGAAATTGCTACTTATAAGAAAATGTTGGAAGGAGAGGAGCACAGGTAAATGTTTTGGAAATACCCCTTATGCTATTCTACTAGGCAGCCTCATCCTAAAGTTAAACTCCATCCAGATATTTAAAAAAAACACCAAGTAATGTATTTGTTTTAAAATTCATTAACTGTATTTTAAATTCAACAAGCATAAATGCTGGACTTTCCAGGATGTCAGCTTTGTGAAATTCTCTGCAAAGCAGAACTTAGCCTGATCAGACTTGGTGAGGGAAGGGCAGCACTAGGAGCCAATCAGATGTCCTACATTCACATGTGCTAACAAGGAACATGGTGACAGGTGGAAGGAATAGAGAGATTACTTCATCACTCTGCTGTTGCTCTTTTACTATGCAGTCTCAGGCCTGTGGCAGGGAGGTAACCTAGATGTGTTACTTAACTGCACCAGAGAAAGGTCAGGTCCCCAAGATGGCTGTGCTATATGGCAGTGATGTGTAAATCTTTGTAATGGCAGGACAAAACTAAATATACCTCGGCAGGTTCCCATATATGTGTTTCCCCGGTGTGTTTAGCTATTTTTCTAATTTTCATCAATAAGGGAAACAGGTATTTAGACAAATAGTTGGCTTGACTGGTCTCAAGACTATTATTGACATGGGTATCTGCAAAATTTGTAAATTCCTACAGACTTAAGTATCTTTGCTAATATGTCCCAATTTTGCAGCTACTGTATATTCAAGTGTACACATACGTAAGGAAAACTAAGAAAAATGCATTTTCTTTATAAAAAGGAAATGCACTGTAGTTCACGCCTAGAAAAAAATATTAAAAATTAGGCAACACTGCAGTCTTATGGTTCTTTGAGTATTGCAAATATGTCCCCATCTGGATCAATTACAAGGCAAACAGCTGTTGTATTTTTAATGCATTTTTCATTGGAGTTGTGCTTTAAGCAAGGAGTTTGGATTTTTGTACAACTTACAATATGCACTTCGCAATAAGCAGAACAGTATATAGGCATCTCTACTTTAGTTTACATCATTTTGCCATGTTATCATGCTGGAATGTTGTAAATAATAAAGTCTCTAGTCTCTGCCTTATAGGCTGTTATGTGTTATTTATTAGACATTTGTTCATGTTTATAGGCGATGAGAAAAAAATCTTACCAAATTAAATTCTTTCTAAAATTCTGTTAATTTTTGTATTTTTTAGGCTGTGTGCAGAGGGTCATGTAAACATTTGTAAGTAAAACAATTATATATATATATATATTGCAAACTTAATTTGTGCAAATTCACCTATTTATTCTACACGTTTATATAGATTCTACACGTTACACATCTAACGTGTACATATTTAGAATATAGTTTATTATTTTATGATTAATTATTATTTACTATTACTAAACAATAAAGGTGATCAGCGCCAGTAAGTGTAATGTGGAAATATGAGCTACCAAGCACTAAGGATATAACTAAATATCTGTAAAATGTGAAAAAACAATATTGTGCCGAGCTAATAATCATACATATCTAATAAATTAAAACATATATAAATGAGTCACATATATGAGCCTTCAAACAAATGAGGCATAAGAAATATCTACACACATACAAAAAAGCAATATAGGCAAAAAAAGTCCCAAGGAAAAAACAAACGCAAACAATGGTGATTGTGCAAAAAATTCCTCAGATGATTCGCAGCCAATGTGCATATAACTCTCAGGTAAGGATAATCACACAATGCAGGCAGACCTTCACCTCCACCCAGTGAGTGATGATAACAAGTGAATGCTCACCTGGGGAGGTAGACCCACAGAGCTAGGTCAAATGCACTTTTTCCCTTCTTAATGGGGGAGGGAAGCCCATGCACAGAAAAAGGCGATAAGGTCTCCTCAGATCACAGGTACCAGTATAAATCCCGGTGGAAAGAGAAAAAGGACAAGGACATAGTGCGTAACGTCCAATAAAATGCAATTTATTATATAAAAAATGCGTACTCACAATGGTGTAAACAGTACAGGCATTGGGTATAGCTGGATCATACCAGCAGGACAAATGGCAGCAAAGTGATAAGAAAACTGTTCGTCCGGCTCAGCGTGGTGACATCAGGAGCTCTGCTTTGCTTTGGGTCTACCTCCCCAGGTGAGCATTCACTTGTTATCATCACTCACTGGGTGGAGGTGAAGGTCTGCCTGCATTGTGTGATTATCCTTACCTGAGAGTTATATGCACATTGGCTGCGAATCATCTGAGGAATTTTTTGCACAATCACCATTGTTTGCGTTTGTTTTTTCCTTGGGACTTTTTTTGCCTATATTGCTTTTTTGTATGTGTGTAGATATTTCTTATGCCTCATTTGTTTGAAGGCTCATATATGTGACTCATTTATATATGTTTCAATTTATTAGATATGTATGATTATTAGCTCGGCACAATATTGTTTTTTCATATTATTTACTATTAATCAATTTTACCACTGATACCATACACCAAATTATTATGTGTTCATGTTTTTTGGATTAATAATGCTATGCAAAGATCATAATTTGCAGTCCCCCATTTAAGCTAATCGCAACTATACTCATGGCCATCTTTTATATTGATTGAACCCTGGGCAAACATTTTGTTTCCCCCCCTGCCATGCCCCACCCCCTACCTGCCACATCCCCACCCAATCCCGTCCCCTACCCACTACACCCCCACCATGAAATTTTGCCCCGCCATGCAATATTGCCTGCTATCTGCTGAGAGCACAGAGCCACGCTGCAGCCAGGAAAGATCCCAACATTATTGTCAGGTATCCACCTGCTACCTGATTGACAGCTGGCTCTGCCTCTGCCTCTGCTGGCTGTGCCTGCCGCCTCCCCTGTCTGTCCCTCTAATGAGTGTAGGAAAACAGAGAGAGGAGGGGGGAATCACTGCGGGGATTGGTGACTGAGCGCCACTGCTCTCTGCAGGGAGATGATCGGGAAATGAGCGATCAGTGCTATGTGATTGCTCAGTTTTCGATCAATCGTGCCAACATGTGACAGCTGCAATGTCACATGTTGGCTCTAATGGTGGGGATGAGGGTATTTCCCCCTTCCCACAAATGTGTGGATAATCTGCCACCTACCACTTCCACTGCATAGAATAATAATAGTAATAATAATAATAACGACACCTGAGCATGTCCCCTGGTGTCATCATTATTATTAGTATTATTAATAATAATAATCATCATCATAATAATCATCATAATCAGCAGCAGCATTGTGCCATAGCCCAGCAGTGTCATCCATGTCACATCCATGTCCCTATGCAACATCCAAAGACAGCCACTATGATGGAAGATGGGGTAATGGTGACACATTGGATGATGAAGATGACATTCCACCCTGAGCTGTTGTGATGACTTCAGTGACATCAGATGAGGTCACCCAGTCGAGATGCCACACCCCACCCTCTATGTGGACCCCTCCCCACGATAGAGACCCAACCCTGCAGCCATTAGGACTGACCGTGAGTAAGGGTGGCTCAGGCTGCAGCCATGGAGGGGGGGAGGCCGGCACCATGCAGCAGTTTGCAGGGAACAATCCATCCTCCTCCACTGACTGAGTCCGAGGTGACATCCTGGGCTGCGAAGATTGCAGATGTGCATAGGAACAGGAGGCTGCTGCCCTCTAGTGGTCAGGATGGGCAGCGCAGCAAAGGCGGGTAGTACAGCAGTAGTAAACTAGTAGTAGTTTATGGGTGTACAGGGCCCCACAACAATGACTGGGCTCCGGGCAACTGCCCCTTTTGCCCCACCTTAAAGATGGCCCTGACTATACTTGACTTTATTATTCTACCTTTCTTGAAGGAAATTTGAGCAGACTTTACAGATTTTAGAAACGCATAATAAAAGTGACTTCCCCTGAAATTATTTACATGTTTCCTGGAGTGGTAAAGTATAACATCTTGACATCATTTATCTATTTGTTTCAGCTGTTCTGCACTCCAGCACTGGAGGAAAACACCATTCTACCGGAAAGTCTCATGAAGCTAGTGGGCACCACCATGATCACTCCCACCAACACCACCATCAATATAAGGGAGGATTAAGCTCCAGCAGCCATGTTCCCAAAAGCAAGCATCACTCCAGCCATGGACATCACTGCTAAAGTCGAATATACAGAGGCACGATGAAGCTGCTCAGTTAACCCATGGCAGAATAACCCACATAGAAATGTAGAAAGCTCCTTCCCCATATATAATGTTTGTATACGAATTAGGGGCACTAGCTTGCTTATTAGTGTAGCATAATATTTTATTATATATATTTTAGTATATATTTGTGACATTGTAGTGTGCTGTATAATGCTTCAATAAACAGTAATGCATGTGCTGGCATCTGCTGTAGTTATATTTACTGGCATTCGCTCAAACTACATTTCCTACAGAGCATTTACAGTGATTGTTAAATCAACAGGAGTAAAAAAGGGATGAACAGACAAACTCAGATCGTTCACCATGTATATTACCCTTATTTATACAGCCAAAACTTATACATCTATGCTAAACCTGCTTTACCATTGTGGATAGTTCCAGTCCCAGTGAAGCCCACTGAATATTCCACTCACACTTACATATACACACACTAGTGCATGTTTTGGTACATCCAATTAACTAGCATGCATTGGGTATAACAAAAAGCCTTGGCATATAAACCACACTAGCAACTATCTGTTTGACATATCAATAGCAATGATGGTAATAATGATTCAACACAGTTATATACAGTCCGAGATGCTTTTCACTTCTGTCATACAATTTTGTGCAAGTAAAAATCCTGTTTTTTTTGTTTTGTTTTTTCCCTTTCACACCAATGTGTTCTCAACATGCATATACTGTATATATACCACCTGTGCACCATCCGTAAAACTTCCTTGCTACTAAGTATTCCGCGGTCAACTGTTAGTGGTATTATAACAAAGTGGAAGCAACTGGGAACAACAGCAACTCAGCCATAAAGTGGTAGGCCACGTAAAATGACAGAGCGGGGTCACCGCATGCTGAAGCGCACAGTGCACAG